TTTTTTTTTTTTTTTTCCTTTTTTGCCCAAGCGCAGAACCATGGGCTTAAACCGGGCTGCGCACTGCTACGGAGGCGCAGTCAACGGGGGTAAATCGCTTTACACTGTATGCCGATGTGTGTGCATGCTGATGGTCAAATTGAAAGTTCCACATGTTACCCCCTTTTTGTAGTAGCGGTAGGGGGCCAGTTGTTTACCCCCCTTGTAGTAGTAGTTAGAGTGTCATTCCTTTGTGTTGGGCATCATTCTACCCTGTCGGCTTCCCTCAACAAATTTACGCAGTTAACGAGTGTAGCATGTATCAACATACGAATAACACGCGAATTTAAAAATTTTTCCATGTATATGTTTATGCAATTTTTTTTTTTTGCGTAGAGGCACGAATACAAACCTCGCTGACTATTTTATGGCTCCAAAAGGGTTAACTCAGGTGCATTAAATGTTGGCGAAGTGGTTGAGGGACATATCCTCTATATTGGATTTATACCAAAAAAAAGTGCAAACTTGGCCAAATGCGAAACGCAGGTGATCGCAATGCCTTGCGACAGTGATGTCCACATGCTGTACAACATTGTAAAACAGACGAACGCAAAACGGAAAGGAATTTTCCCCAAAAAATAGACGTAACGAGAATTGAGCAGTTTCCTCTAACATCATTTGGAGGACAACACATTCCTTACACAGCTCTTCTTATACCATTTGGCGTGGTTACCTAGGGTAACGATCAACGGCGGGTTGCCTCTTCCGCGTATTTGCTCATCCACCTCTGCCGCGATTACCACTACTTCGCCCGGTTGCCTTCGCTCGAAAGCTTGTAGTGGCTAAAGTAGGACTGACGCAGGGCCTCGGGGCTCTTCTGCAGAAGCGGGTACATATACTCCGTCTGCAGGAGTAGGTTCGGAACGAACTCGTACTTTTCCATTATATGGTATAGGGAAAAGTTGGTAAATTTTTTCAGCCTTTCTTCCTTTTTCTCCGGTAGCAATGGCATGGACTTCTTGGTGGTCAGTCTTTTAAACCACTTGCATATACTTCCGTAGTCCTTTATGTTTACTTTCCCCATTTTGGTTTTCGTTTTTCGGTCTTCGATTTTCGCTTTTCTTCGCCTGCGTGACGTGGCAGGTGGAAAACAGCCCTTCCTCGTGTAAGTTGCTGCTTGATATGGAACCTATGCACCTACGCGATTATGTCCGTGCGCATTTATATGTGTGAAGATGCTGCTTTGCATAGGCGCCTGTGTGCTTTCGTCTTCCGAGTGATTTGCCGACTTGTAACTTGGTCAGAGGGTTCTTTTGGTGCGGAAGGGGAGGGTTCCTAATTTGGCTTAAGAAAAAAAAAAATGTCAATTTTGGCAGAATTGACAAAAATGGGATGCTTATGGTGACTTCCTACCGCATAAGTAGGAACGCGAATGTACATATTTGCAAATATGCATACACGCGAAATGTTTTTTTTTTTTTCCCCTCCTCCCAGGGGAGCGCCGGGATACTTATCCGTTGGGGAAAAAGCGGGCCGTTCGTATGCGCACCTTTCATACGCGGCTAGGCCAAACGGAAGCAATCACAATAGAACAGAATAAACGAAAAAGAACTGCGCAATAAAAATGCGCTACGATGATGAACTCCCGAGGGTAACACAAAGGGGTAGTTGTCACGAACCGTTTAAACTTACCAATAGAAATGAAGAAAAAAGAAAAAAAAAAAAAAGAAAAAAGGAAAAGCGGAAGGTTATATGTTTAAGCCTTTACACCTCAACCAAAACAAGGTTGAGGTCACATAGCAAAATGGCGCAGTTCCCATTCTCACTTGATTTCAAAAATGCCTTTTTTTCTCGTTTCGCCAAATATCATTTTAAAGCTCCCTAATTTTAAGCGAAACATCGTACGAGCATCTGTTCATAGCAGCATAAAGGCAATATGTATGAAATGCCTATAGAAAGGTGATTATGCCTCCCCCCCCAGTTAGAAGGCATTCAAAAAAGAGGTTACGTAAAAACATAGGAACCCTGTTATCACGAAATAGGGAAAACAGACATTCGTTTGTTTGTATGCCCTGGTGCTTCTTTTTTTCCCTTTTTTTTTGAATAAACCTATTGGAGAGATGCAAAATGCGTGGCATAAACTCAACAAGGCGATGCAAAACATCCAAAATGTCATTCTCACAGAGGATGATTCATTATTTGCGAGTGAAAAAGGCACAAACGTGAAGGGAAACAATTCCAGTAAGGATGACAATGATCTGACAAAGGGGGAATTGCAACATGATGGTTCCAATTGGAAGAAGGTTTTGTCTCAAACCGCGAGCAATGTAAGCACTTCCCCAGTTAAAGCTATCGCTACGGCTACCGCTACGACTGCCACTACCACCCCGGGTGGCAGCCTTGAGGGTCCCCCAAACTTAGTGGACTCGAAAAATGCCTTGTACGAAGAAATAGTGAAAAGCATAATTTTGTTTAACAACCTGATGAGAAACGAAAAAGTGCAGCTGCTAATTAATGAGTACCAAATTGATTATTACACATCTGACAAACAGGAAGACGATTTTCTTTTATTGAATTATGTGTACATAAGTAAATACATGATTCTCATTTTAACCAAATTTTTAAACATAAACCTTATGGAGAAAATAGAGATTACTCAAATGAGCAAGGAAGAATACGAGCATAGCGTAACGCACCTCTTCCTTAACATCCTAAAACTGGGCAACTTCTCCCAACGCAGTGGAAGTAGCGACCTACTTTCTGCACACCATAATTACAACATAAATTACCAAGGACCGGTCAATAGTAGTCTTCTTCAGCACAAGGAGGAAGAAAAGGAAGGATCTGTGCATTTTAGTTGTAAAAGCGCGGAACAGGTAGTAGACACCCTTCACACTGTAACAAATGGGATGCACGCTTCTTCTCCGGGGAGAGAAGAAACGTCTCACGCCTCCCATCATAACGGAGCGGGAAATTTGGAAAATGTGAATGAGCACAGCACACATCATCACCAAGTGCAGAATCACGAAGGTTTCGTTTACAATCCAAATTATCAGCGTCATGATGCAAATTATAACCATAACAGTCGACATTTGAAGACACGGGAAAAGGCCAGCACAAGCGGTTACCAGTACAATGCCAAAAGTGACAATTTTAACCCTCGTATAGATAAAGAGAACGGGGAAAGTGAGAGCGCAGAAGGAGTGGTCGGTATAGGAGAGGGAAGCGGAGCAATTATGCACCGCCCAAGTGATGTCGACAACAATGTGCGCAACTCCCCGGATAAGTGCAGAAATAGTGTTTGTCAAAGTGACGAAATCTCCACACATTTTACAAAGAACGATTTAGCGTATAGAAAATCTTCGGATGTAAGCCAAAGGGATTTATTTACTACGGAGTTACACAAAGGTAGAGAATTCTTCCCCAAAAAAAGTTCCCTCGTCGAATGCAGAGAGGAAGATTTCTGCATAAGCGAAGCAAAGATCGATTTGAAAAATATCATCAAATCGATGAAGGAGGAAAATAATGTCAAAATAAATGTTTTAAATGATAAGATAAAATATCTGGAGGCACAAATTATTAAAAGTAAGGAACGCCTCTTGATGTTTCAAGATCTGGAAGAGGATGTGGAAAAATACAAAAGAGAAATAAATAGCAAAAATAAAATTATAGAAGAGATGGTTCGCGAAAAGGGCCTTCTGCAGAATGATATCAGCGTAATGCAGTCAAAGCTGGAACGCAGCAGCAAGTTGAATGAGGATAGGAAGAAGCTCACTGAATACTGCCAAGAAAATCACGTAGACAAACAAATCATTATTGAAATGCTAAAGAATAGTCGTGACTCTCTAAAGGCCAGCAGTATTAAAAATCAAGTGTTCCTCATTTTGTGCGACATTCTGGGCATTAAAAATATCATAGAAGGCGTGGACATGCATGAGAAAACTATATCAGACCAGTTCTTGGAGTTCCTCGACGAGGAGACGAAGGACCCCTGACGCGGTGTGCGCTTGTGTACATGATTAAGGGTGCACACGCCCTCGCTATTACATCTCCCAGATGCTCACCCACGAATCGGCGAAGAGAAAAAGGGAATGAATTATTACATAGTAGTTTGCGCATCTTTGCCTGATTTTTTAATTTTTTCGTATCGTACATATCTAGATTTGCCTTTGCTCTGATTTGTAATATGTGACTTTGTCACCCCCCCCCCTCTCTCCCCCAAATTTGCCCAATTCATGTTTCATTCTCGCAGTTACGAAGTAACGTCTTTGTGAAATGCAACTTGTTTCATTTCGCCCCCACCGACATGTTTTTTTGCCGCCCTATGCATATGCTTTCTTTTTTTTAATTTTTTAGAGACAATTTCGTATCAACTTTGCACTCTTCCACTATTTATTTCGTTTCTTTTCCGTTTGTGTTATGTTTACGTTTGTTGTTGTATTTTTTTCTATGTTGACATTTTCAACATTTCGCAGAAAAATGCAGCTATAGCTTTCAACTCACTTTTTGGTAATTTTTAAGTTTCCAGTAGCAGGGGTAGAGACTTCTCTTTGTGTTTCCCACGACCCAGTGTGTTCCGCCATGGTGTTCTATTTCCACTGTACGTATTCAGAAAAAGGTGTGACTCCCCTTTTTCGATATCCACTTGGCGCTCCTTCCATGACACAATTTAGTGCTTTCTTCAAGCATCTTTATCTCTTTGTAAGAGTTTATGTAGACAAAGGTGAGAGATGCCGAAAAAAAGGGAGAAAAAAAAATTCTGAACCTTCATACAAAAAAACGGCGTTATAAATAAAGAAACTCCTCGAAATAGCGAACAACAGCATAGTAGAACTATGCATATTTAAGCATAAGTGGGACATTTCGGCCAATATAAGAGGAAGGCACAGGAAAGAAATCCACGTTGCACACATTTGCCTTGTCTCTACTCAAGGGAACATGCTTGAGCATTTAAATTGATATACAACTGTTGTCAATCCGTAAGCTTACTTCTTAATTGGTTAATTGGTTAATTTGTTAATTTTTTTTTTTTTTTTT